AAGTTGAGAACAATGAGCTTGAGAGCCGAGAAACTGTCGCAAATCATATAGTTTTTGTGCAACATTGTCGACGCGTTTACCCCGCTCGTGACGGCCATCTAACGGATCCGTAGATTAGCTGATTGTTAGTTAAGCATGTATTCACATAACATCGATGGGATCAATAAAAATTAGCCTAGTCCCTGTGATTATCTCTTTTTAATAGGGATATTATTTCATTACTCAAGTCCTCTTCTTTTTCTTGTAATTTACTCATACATGTCCTTTCATAAGGGTGGCAACGACATGACTCCTTTTTCCTTTTATTATATATTTTATTTTACGAATTCTGCTGAATTAAAATAAATAAATAATTGAGATATGAGAAAATGAGAGAACTATTGGCCGAAGAGTTGAATTTATTGTGGCTATTCATATGGAGACTGGGTGGAATGGAACGAGTTTATTCGTTGTAAAAACTCGGCTGGTGCCGAACCGGGAATGTATCGGGCCGGCGACAGTTCATGGTGGAATTTCATCCGGAATCTCTAATTAAAAGTTTGTCTATTCGCTCCTCTCCCGATCCGCGAGCTACGGTGACGGGTGACTCTTGAGTTATTCTAATGGTATTGGAGATTGAGTGACGATGAAGAATATAGTTGTTCCTTTTAATAATATGGATTAATCTAGGTTCTTCTGTATTTTAGGGTTTATGTTACTGATTTATTCAATTCTTTATCTTTGATAGATGACAATTATGAGAATAAATGAGATGCAAGTTTATCAAATGTTTTGACCTAATTAATTCTTAGTTAAGTACTTAGGCATGCTACAGCAACTTTATATTCTAACTAAATAGTAGTGCCACATAAAGAAATTCATACACATTGCGCAAAACAGACTCTGAGAAGTTAAAGAAACTAGTTTGGACTATCTTGGTCCTGGGGTTACACCCGTATAAGGCGACCTTTAGTTGGCTCAATGACATTACCAACTCCTGCCCTTCGTTATTGTCCCGTCATATCTCATTCATTATATGCCATTTTATACAACGTTAATAACGTTAAAATACTGAATTGATAATCTTGCGATAGACGTTTATTCAATGAAGTTAGTCCTTTATCGATGTACTTATGTATATATATACTAAGTAATGTTTGCGGAATCCTTGAACACACAGTTTATTTTGGCGTAGGAGTTACGATTTATTTATTGCTTTGCTAAAATCGGCAATACTGCATAACTAGACCCTAAGTTACACAATTCCCTGAGGTCTGTTCACTTCAATGACGCTGTATAAAATAAATTCTGGCCTGCGTAGGCCAGCTAAATATTCCTAGGTACAGACGCGTATTCCTTATGCAAACCTAAAAATGTTTTTTACGAAAAACTAGGTATTCTACAAACGTGAGGTTTGGCTTATTCCCAAATGTCCATTATCATTTCAGTTAAACATAATATCTTGGTTGCAAATTTCACATAAGAAGGACGATGAAGAGACTAGATGCCTTATACTATGTCCAAGTCCAGTTCAGCAGTGTCCGCTCGCATCGCGAACACCGAAATGCTAAAAATGGTATAAATAATTTATACGTCGCTTGCTCGGGCTGCGTTTTTGTAGCGGCCGACCTGTCCACTGATGCATTTATAATATAAAGGTGCTTTTTGCAGCGTACCCTGGCCGCGTTGGAATGCAACCGCTAAAATTGATCTTGTTTCAAACGTGAGCTGAAGGAATAATTTTAGCGCTGTGTTACGCTGCGTCGGTGCGAAGTTCATATTATTATGGTCAGAGGCGCAAGCACGAGTTTTTGACAGCTCCGTAAAATTAAATTTCCGTAATTCTCTGTTATTAAATTATGTTTGGAAAATGCTAGTTTGTTTTTATATAAGACTAGTGGCCCTCCCTCGCTTCGCTTCGGTGTAGAGCTGTAGTGTAGACTAAAATGCCTCTTCATATAATTATAAAAAAAAACTGAAAATGGTATATTTGCCTTTTTCAAACTTCTATTGACATCACGTCATTCAATTGTTTTGCCTTCCCGGAACCTCTCCACTAACATTTGAAGTTTATGATATAGTATTTAAGTTCAAAATTGACTTTTAAGTATTATTACGAATCGTTTGTATGGGAGTATAGAAAAGTGTTGTTTTTGGACATTTTTAAGGCAATTTTTTTAATTTTTCTCTGCGTAAGAACCATCCTCGTACTTCAAGGAATTATCTAAATAAAAAAGAATTATCTAAATCGATTTAGCTGTTCTTGAGATTTGCGCTTAGCAAGCAACACATTCAGCGATTCATTTTTATATTATAGATAAAGGAGCGCTGCTTAGTTTTCATATAAATTTTGACGGTACAATACGTTGCGGAGTTTTCAAAAATTCGTGCTTGGGCTTCAGGAGCCGTTGTGGTCCCTTCGTATGTCTCTGTGTATCGTTGTACTGTAAAGCGAAAGGGATTTCTTTGTGAGATTAAAACGTGTGATCGACGTTAGTCACGGTGGTAGCTTCTCGTGAGGTTAATGCGTAGCGTATTCTTACCAGTACCCTTAGCACGAACCAATATCGAATTCGTATCGCTTGCGAGTACGAAATGTCATTGTCAAATGTGAACTGATTTTTAGTTCTCGTTACGTACTTTGTGCCGCTGCTGTTCAAGTTTCCATACAAAATTTGACATTGACATTTCGGTTCGCAAACTATTCGAATTCTATAATGGTTCGGGCTAGGGGTACAGTACAGTACCCTTAACACGAACCAATATCGAATTCGTAACGTTTGCGAGTATGAAATGTCATTGTCAAAAGTGTACTGATTTTAAGTTCTGGTTACGTACGTTATGGCGCTGCTGTTCAAGTTCAAGTTAAATTTGACAATGACATTTCGCACTCGCAAACTATTCGAATTCGAAATTGGTTCATGCTAAGGGTACTGATTGGTTTTTGACTATTATAGATTGATAAATACATAAACTGCATTCATATTTCAATATCATTTTCTAGTTCGGATAAAGACAAACTACTAGGTCTTTACTAGAAAAAAAAATAAAAGTTTTACTAGAAAAAAAAAAGATGATTGATTGAGTATCGAAGGTACGATGAAATTATGAAATTGTTTGTCTCACACAAGTTTAAGATAGATTTCCAAGATTTTATACTTATATTTATACCACGACGAATATATTTGTTAAAAATTGAATTTGATTTCATTACAGTAAACAAGCGGTATTCGATGGCAAGAGGGCGATACGCGGAGGAATACCATTTGTATTTCGTAAGTATTTTCAGTAAGACAATATCGATATTATATTTATCTTAAAAGAGATTTATCTTCGAAATTACGTTAAATTGGCTGTTGTTATGATACAATAAATTACATAAGGATTCTATTATTATTACTATGATAGTAAAAAACAGATTGAAGTATCTGGAATCTAAGTAAAAAATATATTTTATTTTTATTAATATATAATTTTTCATTTCATTTCATTTATTACGATAGATAGTTAGAGCGTTCGTTCTGCGTTCGTAGAAGTTAATCAACTTTCGCAATAGTTGGTCATAGAATGAATGAATAAAAATTGTTATATATCTCGAGCTTCGGAAGACATTAAACCGTTGATTCCGGATGCATAGCACCTAACAAAAGCCGAAAAGTTTGGCCACAATTATTTGACCGGACATGCTTGTCCTGCTTAAGTTGGCAAGATGGCAACTCCATACATGGTCCGCTCACAGTATTCAGTCCGTACTCCGTAGGGAAGGCCCCAGCCGTGGCCAATATAGGTTAATTACTTAGATTAAAACAAAAGGTGTTAATAGTGATTAAATAAATTTTGTCTACGTCTAGTCGTGCGTCTGATGATGTTTTTTAAACGATAACCTGTCGGGTAGATAGGTTTTAAATATCGATGAGGTTAACGGGCATTATCCAACAGCCGTGAGGAATGGGACACTACCCGGATGTTGCTTGACTTCATGTCTTCATCAAAAGGGTACTTTGATTTGGGCGGTTTATTCTTGAGAATAGGAAGATTGGGCCACGACCCACTACGCGGGCACAGTGCGTATTGGTGGATGCTAACGATTGCAGATGCAGCCACCGCTGGGGCCAACGGCTTAAGATGGAGCAGCTCGAGGTAGTTAATATTTGGGCAACCATCCCGTGACCGGGTATCGCTAAAGTTGCTTAAGTTGATCGTAGACTGAACGTCCCGTGCCGGGTGACCGGTGCAGCAGTATTATCTGGTTTTTACTCGGTAGGGCCCTGCTCATTTCACCGAGCCTCTGGGCTGGGTGAAATAAGCGGAGAGGAGTCTTCAGATATCCTGTTCGCGCTTGTGATTCAGGGAGGCGTAACGCCTTTTCCAGATAAAAAAACACCAACGAGATAACTGATTGTGCCATCGAGCAAGACCTCCTTTGATTTCAGCACAATTTGGACTTTCTTTCTCACCCATCCATTCCATTCTCTATGTATACGGGTGTATGAACGTTTCCAGCCCAGTCCGGACAATGGGCGTTCGGTCCGCAGGACGGGTTCGCGCAGGTGGCGACCCGTCCATTCCATTCTCTACGTGTACGGATGTATGAACGTTTCCAGCCCAGTTCGGACAATGGGCGTTCTGTTGGCAGCACGGGTTCGCGCGGGTAGCGACCCGTCCATTCTATTCTCTATGTGTACGGGTGTATGAACGTTTCCAGCCCAGTTCGGACAATGGGCGTTCGGTCCGCAGCACGGGTTCGCGCAGGTGTCGACCCGTCCATTCCATTCACTATGTGTACGGGTGTATGAACGTTTCCAGCCCAGTTCGGACAATGGGCGTTCGGTCCGCAGCACGGGTTCGCGCGGGTGTCGACCCGTCCATTCCATTCTCTATGTGTACGGGTGTATGAACGTTTCCAGCCCAGTTCGGACAATGGGCGTTCGGTCCGCAGCACGGGTTCGCGCGGGTGGCGATCCGTCCATTCCATTCTCTATGTGTACGGGTGTATGAACGTTTCCAGCCCAGTTCGGACAATGGGCGTTCGGTCCGCAGCACGGGTTCGCGCGGGTGCGACGCGGTGTCGTCGCGTTCGGACAATGGCGTTCGGTCGCAGCGTTCGCGTGGCAGTGGAGAAGATGCCCGAGCGGCTGCCCAGCGGCGACGTGGAGGCGGTCTTCAGCCTCATGGACGATGACTTCACGCGCTCCATGTGGCACTTTCAGTGAGTAATTTGCTTTATTTACCTACTAACTACGCTACGCAGATAAGTGTAAAACTTCTTTCTTGATGTGCGAAGATATAACGTAATATGGGACGTTCTTCTTTTTTATGGCCAATCTGACAGGCAAATTTTTATATTTGTTAAAAAAGTAAACATGGGATTTCTTTAGTAAAATGTATTTTAAATTATTGCCTCGTTGTTGTAGATTTCAAACATATATAATGCATCGAAGTATTACTTGTAATTTTGTTTAACTTCTAATTTTGTAGGAATGGTAACAAAAAATCAACACCTCAGTCACGAAAATGTTTATTTTTTTTATTTTTCATGCAAAATCAGATTTTTAGTTTCTTATTTCTTTCTTATCAAGAATACAAACATTTCTTTTAAGCTAGCTCCATGGGACGGAATTCTTAATAAAAACACTTAAAAAATGATATCCAATACCACTCTGTCACAGTTTTGCTTTTTAAGACAAAAAACTTTTTAATATTATGAAAGTCTTTCAATAAAACAACTTGAAAATCTGGTGAACAACTTTATTGTTTAGCATGTAATACTAGAAAACGCTATTTTTGTAAATAGTACCAATAAACTGGAGCATACACTACTTTGAACTTAAATTATAAGGGGGACAAAATTGTGACAGAGTGGTAAATAATCATTACCCGCCGAGCAATGTTAACCTTAAAACAGTTTTAAACTTTAGAAAACATTAAATAGTATATTTTTGTTTTCTGTCGTGTTCATTTTCCTTTCTACTATGGGTTGTATTGTGTACTTTATCTTCATTTTTTTTCTGTCGCTGAAGTCTTTTCTTGTATTTCTGTACTTTTCTTAGTAATCCTTGTATTTGGTCTTGAAGTTGAATATTTTTTCTATAAAGTTCCTTCCTCTTGCACTGGCAGTAGACGAGGCTGGAGTAAGTGAACGAATCTCGGACTTAATGGTCTGGGACTTGAAAGAGGTGTGTAGAAGCCGGAGTGTTCATAAAAACGTTCTGCAAAGCTTTCTGTCGTTCTCTTCTCTTCCTATTCCTAATTTGGTGTCATATCTTTAACTAATTTTTACGAGCATGATATCATTCTTAATCTTTACGTTTCACTTCTGCAACGATTTCAGGGTTAAGTTTCCTTTTTTCACGACACCGTCGCTGTTTTTCAGCCGCCGATAATGGCATTTTTGAATTTATCAGATGGTAACACCTTAAATTAACAAAATAATCGACCATATAATAAACAACATAAGAAAACTAAAAATCATCTATTATGAAAATGAACTAAGGCTCTAAGCTCCATACAAAAACGACTACTCCGTCACAAGCTTACCACTTCGTCACATTTTTGTGACAGAGGTGCCTCGTGACAGAGGTGTAAAATAGTAGTGTTCGAGATTCTCAGCATTGGTCTAATTATAATTAATTCATAAAAGTTTGCATATATGAAATAGATATCAGGAATCAATAAAAAAATATTAACACACAGGAATTAAAATAATATTCAGAAGTAGTAACTTACGTGACAGAGTGGTCGCTAAATAAACACACGCACCTCCTTTTACTGTTTGCGAGCGACTGACTGGTATCACCGGGGGGTAGGGACACATAGCGTGGGAGTGGAGTAGAGGGAGACTATGCTCTTGTCTAGTGACCAAGGTCAAAATTGCTAACGCACATTATTTTGTACCATAAAACGAGTGACAGAAGACAGCAATAAAAATGATATACGTCGGGAGACAGCGAATCAAATATTTTTTTATTTAATAATAGAAACATTAAATATTATTTCTTCTTATTAATTAAATAACAAAGGTTAAGTAGTTCAGTAAATGTTTTTGGATAGAAACTTTCAATGTGATTTTTTTGTACGAGAACAGTTTGTTTACATTAGTAGTCACAGAGGGACACACTTTATTTGTATGTAAAACACCTCCGTAACGTTTTTCGTATACTATGTCACAACATTTTTGTAAAAAATATTAATAATCAAAATCTAGTTTTGAGGATAGTATAATTGTTGCATTGTCAAGTGTATTTTTGTAAAAGAAAAACAACATTTTTGTATTTTGGAGCAATAACATTTGTTTTTTTGCGGAGAAGACAAGTCTTTAAAAAAAAAGAACGTCCCATATATGTTTGTAATCTACCAGTGAGTACCATATTTTTTATAGAAAAAAGGTTGCAAACCACCATGTGGCCCACCTGATAGTACGCTGCCTCTTTCTATAACCCTAGAAGTTTTTGATACTAAAAATTATTTAGATTGGATATTGAAAAAACTATTTAAGATAAGATAAAAACTCTATTGCACAAAATAGTAACAAAACTTGCACAAATCTTATCACTTGTGAGCGATTTCTTCCCGCCGACCCAATAAGCTGGATATAAAAGAAGTTAAGAGAATAAGTGAGGTTGCGCGGAATACAAGGCAAACGTTTTCTTGATAGTTTTTATTAAGAAGACGGAAGGAAAAAAAAAACAGTCAATAAAAGAAATTTTAATATACAGGCAAACATAAATACCCAAATATTTCACAATATAACGCCACTGAATCAAGTTCACACAAGTTCTAATGCAACAAGATCAATTAAAAATTTAGGTCCCTCCAACAAAAAGTGCTCCTTAACTAGACACTTAAAATAGTCGAGTGAAAAGAAGATTGTCAGAAGAACGTAGTGGAAAATTATGGGAGGAAGAAAGAAACTGAAGACGTTCTTTCGAGTTAAACAGGATCTTTTGGGATTGAACAGTGCTGAGAAAAGTAGTGATAATATATGTAGATCTCGGCGACGAGGAATGAGAAGCCACTTTAACTTTTCCCTGTGGTAAGAAACATGGTCGCACGTACGCAAACCATTATTTATATGAACCTAACGGAAAAAAATTGCAGTCGTTCCAGTGTACTAAAAAGATCTGCATAATCAAGAATTGGTAGTATTAGAAGAAGAAGAGAAGTTGCAAGAGAAAAAAATATTGGTGGTAGTATGCAAAAAGTTACGTAAACTCCGCAAATATCCGGTTGCAGCGAAAGTTCGCCTACTAACGCTATCTGAACTACTGTAACGAATATCGGCGAATGCGAATGTGAATATTCGTTACATCACTATTACACACAGACAATTTATCCCTAAACAGTGTTAGGTTTCCTATGGAATTTAGAAAAAACTGAATCGCGGGCGGACGTTAGTACTTTTTTTTTTCGATGACGGGGAGAAAAAATGTATTATATCCACGGCAATGGCCAACCCACGTTGGTTTGCTGTTAACAAACCCTCGCGACGTCGGTAATTGCGTGGTGCATTCGGCAAGCGGCGAGCCGCCCGAGGGCCGCTAGTCGGTGCGGGTATACTTTGACGTACACTCACGCAAGCGTGGCATACGTCAAACCTCCCCGCCTCCGAACAGCAGCCCGGTTCGTACCCGCTTTAGCCGATCCTGGGCTTCTCCGTTCACAGATAAATTAATTAAATAAATCATGATTGTATTGACGTTGTAACAACATAATGATTTATAAATGTTGTTACATTATGCTTTTAATGTTGTGGAGTTTTTTTCGCTCGTTTTTCTCCGCAGCTAAAAAATATGTCCAATAACGAGTGGTAGGGAAAAAATGTTTGGACGATTCAAAAGTGTTGTACTATACATCCAATTTGAATAAAGATATATTGATTTCTTTCTGACAGCGTCGCCTGGCTAGTGTCACGGACCGCAGTCCGAGCGGCTAGCCAGCCGACCAGCTCCCGTACCTACCAGGTAAACCAACTCCCGATCTACCCCTCACCCTCCAGGCGTAACTGCGGGGTCCAGTTATGAATCGCCGCTTGTTACGCCTGGCGGCCGCTAGTACCTGATATAATGAGAACTAATTAAATTATAAAAAGTAAAAAAAATATAAATCACATCTTATCTCTTTTGGGGTTGACAGTGCATCAACATTGCGATAGCGAGATACACAAAGGTCGGCATGATTTAATTGAAAAGAAATTTCGTGAAAAAAATATGTATTAACTAATAATTATAAAATAAATTATCAATATTATTATGTAACCCGAAGTCCCTCATCTGTTGTATATCATCATCTGAACAATCGTTTAGACTGTAATTTTGCCTTTTGTCTTTGAAAAAAGTGATCAATCCAATGCTATCACAGATAGATAGATAGAAGAGAGAAAGACTGCAGCCAATACCATAGACATAGTCCACTGAACAGTTTAACATTACAGTTGAACAGTCATCAGTCGTTCTCTATCTGTCCTAACTTCCTAACTATCCATATTATATTATTAATGCAAAATGTGTCTGTCTGTTCCATCTTGACTCTTAAACAGCAGAACCGATTAAGATAATGTCTGAGTTCTTGGAAAGGACATAGGATGGTTTTTATTCTAGAAATCACCCTTTAAGTATGTGCAAAGGGGTGGAGGTTTGTATACGAAACCAATTTTTACAAGCAGACGAAGTCGCGGGCACCCCTTGTGGCTGCGTAACTAATATTATAAATGTTAATGTGAGTTTCTTTGTTAGTTTGTCAAGCTTTCAAGCCTAAATAAACTATTTAAACCAATAATCTGAATTTTGGTATAGAAATTAGAGCATGGATATACCGGTTTTACCGAAAATAATACCGCGTAATATCGAAAATACCATGCTAAAACGTCGATATCAAAAACCCGGCAGCAGACGGGACTTGAATCCGCACCCTCCGATATCCGAGCGGATGCACTGACCAATTATGCTACCGCGACCTTAATGACAGAGTCGGATTCCTTCTAGTATTTATTAGGCTGCAAGGCAGCAAGGGTTTGAGTCCCGTCTGCTGCCGGGACCATGTGGATTGTTTTGTAGTAAAATTTTCTTGAGATTTAAGGATAAAAGTATATAGGGTGAAATTGAATGTTTCTATGAAACTTCATGAGATTGTTGGGTTATGTGTATAGAGTATGCCTGTTTTTTTTCGGATTTTTTAAAATATTTTTTTTCGTTTTTTATTTGGTTATTTTTTTGTCATTTCTTCCTTATGAGTAATTATTCATTTTAAACACTTCACATAGAAGTTGTAAAACAACTTAAATTAAGCACTCCTAAAAAAAGGGAAACTTAATGAATGCCTCCAGTCGAGATCGCCGGCCAGGGCGACGACCGGCGGCGGCCGCCTGTGTACCTACACAGGCGGCCGCCGCCTACTACACGCACAGATGACTCGGCGCTTACCTACTTTCCTATTTGATTCCATACTATTTAAAAACATTACAATAAAATAGTCTTAGATGCTATATTATAATTATTTATTCACTGATACACAATACCTTTGAATATTATTTCATAAAGCACAGGTAATTAATCAATAAAATAAATCTTCTGTTAGAGCAATTAAAAATCCTATAAAGTTAATATGACTGTCACGATTTTAAATCGGTAAAGCCTGTCTGTTAGTGTAAGAACTTCTTTTTTATTGTTAATGTTAGTTGCTTCGTTTAATTAAAACTTAAGAACAAACGGCTTATTTAAAATTTTATCGGTATAACTTACAAGCTTAGTGAAGGAAGGAACTCTTCGTGTCTGATTTGCCCACGTCATGAAATTCCGAACACATTTAATCACAGCCACAGTCACACACACACACACACACACATAATAATATGTTGTTTTGCGGCAAACACGGGCGGGCGGCGCGCCGCACGGTGGCAAGAAACATGCAGCCCTAGCGCCGGTAGCGGCGTCTTTGATGATGCGAATTCCGATTTCCGCCCACCTCCCCTCTTCCCGCGTGCGGTGGTTTGCTTTGATTGCATGCAAAGTGCAGTCGCAAGAATATCAATCGCGCGTGGGCGTGCGCATTTTTTGACTTAGTGACATACACTGTGATAATTTCATTATGCCTCGGTATACAAACCAAGAATATTTATAGATGGTGTACTGCTATCGCGAGTGTGACGAAGTAGGTTTGGTTTACGAATGAGTCCCCAAACCATAGAAGTTGCATTTTGAGTAGTGATAGGGACACTTTAAAAAAGGTGAAAAGACACGTCCGCAAACGTGCCTACCTTTGTTTGCAGCAAAATGGTGGTTTACAGCAACAATTTAAGTCTCTTTTTATTGCTAGTGTAAATACTTTTTGATTTGAAACAACTAATTAGTGTACTACCAGTGTGATTGATTTGATAAAATATTCTAGTGAAAAAAATGAATATGTTCCTCGTTCCTCGTTGTACCTACCTACATCGCTGGTCTCGTAAGTACTGTCTAATACCTAGTTATAAATTATTATTAACTTTTTAGGTATTTTTCTCTGCTAATGAGAAGATAACACTTGTTCTTTATTTAAATAAATCTGTTATTGTAATATGGCATCTAAGGCCCGTATGAATAGAACGCTCTCAACTCTGAGAGCGATCTTGAGATGCTGTTTTGTATGAACATAGTATCTCAAGGTAGTAGTCTCAGAATTGAGAGCGATCTATTCCGTAATTAATTGCCTTTGACGATTTTACTGTACTGTACAGTAGATACGCGCCGCGTCAGCTGTGCGCGGTAGGTACCTATACAGGCGGCCGGCGTCCGTCGACCTCGCCTGGCCGCATCCACTATTTTATTCGTTTATTTTAGTAGTGCTTATTTATTTGTTATATTTCACATACTATGAATACGTGTTTAAAAATAATTATTACTCAAAAGAGGAAAGGACACAAAAATGCGCAATTAAAAAAAATAAAAAACCAAAAATAAATTATAAAAAAATCCGAAAAAAATCAGGGATACTCTATACACATAACCCAACAATCTCACGAAGTTTCATTGAAACATTCAATTTCACCCTGTATATTATACTTTTTACCTTGGAATAACGCTAGGTTTTTGTGGGATTCTTATAAAACTTAAGTTAACACGGAAAAAGTCGCGATTGGTCGCTAGTCTATTTATAATTGCAACAAACCGTTTGCCCTCAGGTTCAGATTAACATACCGGCTGATTTTGCGCGAGAAGGAGCTACACTTCAACATCGGCGTGTACAACCCCAGCAAGGAGCTGACTTTTAGCTGCCAGCTGCTGCTGCACACGTACTTCAAGGTGCCCGACGTGCGGCGCTGCCAGATCACCGGCATGCACGGCTGCATGTTCATCGATAAGGTGAGAGATCGGCGCGCAAAACAGAAGGAGTCACCTTCAACATCGGCGTTACAACCCCAGCAAGGAGCTGACTTTCAGCTGCCAGCTGCTGCTGCACACGTACTTCAAGGTACCCAACGTGCGGCACTGCCAGATCACCAGCATGCACGGCTGCATGTTCATCGACAAGGTGAGAGATCTACGCGCGATAAAGAAGGAGTCACCATTAACATCGGCGTTACAACCCCAGCAAGGAGCTGACGTTCAGCTACCAGCTGCTGCTGCACACGTACTTCAAGGTACCCAACGTGCGGCACTGCCAGATCACCAGCATGCAGGGCTGCATATTCATTGACAAGGTGAGATCGGCGCGCGATATAGAAAGAGTCACCTTCAACATCGGCGTTACAACCCCAGCAAGGAGACTTTCAGCTACCATCTACTGCTGCACACGTTCTTAAAGGTGCCCGACGTGCGGCGTTGCCGAATCACCGGCATGCACGGCTGCATGTTCATAGACAAGGTGAGATCAGCCTACAATACATTAAAGTGCCCTTCTTACTTTATCCTTAATCTTAGAACATTTAAAAACCGTCGTAGCAGAATGATTTTGTGATTATTTAACGACCGGACTTACGTTGCTAACTTCATGAATACGATGTCGCTCGATCCACTACCTGTGCCCTCAATAGCGCCGCAACCGCAATGATTAAAGACATCCTTTTTCTGATGGGTTTTAATGCCTAGAACTCCCTCTCCACTTATCAACGCCATCTACTTGAGCTTCTCCTAGGACTCGAGGAGAGGAGACGATTGCAAATAGCATAGGAAACTGGGTTGGTCATAGGCGCCCTTGGCTCCCACTCCCTTTCGGAAGCCGGGGGTATCTGAAAATGGTCTGTTTATCTACGGGGATAAAAGATGAAAGCTGTTAACCAACCTCATATATGTATTGTAGTAGGCTAAGTTACTGAAATAAACTATTTTGTATTTGTTTGGGTATCCCTCTTACGCAAAAGGAGATCAGTACCCCTAGTATGAGTTTGAATCGTTTTCGAATTCGATCAATCGTATCGTCTCGTTTCCATACATTGACTAGCAGCGCCCCTAGCGTTAACTATCAAAAACAAAAATCAGCAGTATGAGTTTCATCGAGTCATCGTAAAACGAAAACTACCAAAATTTTCGTATGTCGTTTGCATTTTGGCAGTACAAGTTACGACTTTGACAGCGCGTCATGAGTATACCACGACGTTTGATCGTATCGTCGCTCGATTAGAAACTTTCAGTGACTAAGTGTTTTGGGCCAAGTTTTTATGCAATTTAATAATGATTAGACACAGATTAATAAGATTAAGTCTAGAGATTTACATACATTAGCGTTGTTTAAGGTTGAATTGAATGAATGACTCAGGTATCTCTTTTTGGGGAAATAAAAAACGAAAGAGATAAAACTAAACAGTGTGAAGTTCGTTTAATCGAGTCATCAAGCAAACGATATCGTGAAGACGAGGAGTGAAATTCAATACTCGTACTGCGACACAATTCGAAAACGTATAGTTTGATCGAATCGACGAAGACGATCGTTCGTTTCGTATTAAAGAAACTCATACTAAGGGTACAGTACATCCTAGATCCTCTTAAGTCTCACTACTGCCCAGCCTGGTATTTGCCATGCATGCCAAGCTACGCATTTGTCATACAATCGTTTAAAATATGTATTATGATGAATAGTAATTGGTGTATTGTCTTCAGACGCGGGAAGGCACAGTCTACCAGGAGACTCGCGACGTGGTGACCATCAACGAGTGGACGGACCGAGTCTACCAGAACACCATGCAGGAGCACATCATCACCAACGTGGTCAGCGGCCGCAAGATGAGGATACAGAAGTACAACTTCCCAGACACCGGTTAGTGGCGTATATATAGACAGTGATAGACCAGGAGAAGACGTGGTGACCATCAACGAGTGGATGGACCGCGTAACCAGAAAACTATGCAGGAGCACATCATCACCAACGTGGTCAGCGGCCGCAAGATGAGGATACAGAAGTACAACTTCCCAGACACCGGTTAGTGGCGTATATATAGACAGTGATAGACCAGGAGAAGACGTGGTGACCATCAACGAGTGGATGGACCGCGTAACTTCTTTACGCACAGTTGACTTGGGGGGGGGTAAGCTGGCGAATGCATTACGAAAAGTGTCGAGTTGAGTGGGGGATATAAGCAAGAGAAAAAAGTGCGCAAGCACATTTTTTTTCTCTGTTTCTCTTATAGCTAGTAAATGAAATATGTATATGTACATACACGTATATATTGTATACATATATATATATATATGCTGGAGCTAAAGAAGTTTCACTTCGGTGTTGTGGGTATAAGAGTGACATATATATATATATATATATATATATATATATACAGTGATAGACCAGGAGATGCTGTGGTGACCATCAACGATTGGACGGACCGCGTCTACCAGAACACCATGTAGGAGCACATCTGACTAAATCTGTTTCTAGATTGTTCATGACTATTTTTGAAGTGAAAACTGCGTTAGCGGCGTTGTACCCTTTTTTTGTATGGGTAAAAAATGTAAAACTTGCGTCAGGTTAAACACGTGGACTGTTCGCATCATGACACACAATAAAATTGGAAAGGTTGTTCACTTTCAATATATTGGACGAAACATAGTAATATTTTATTTTACCATATTAGTAAGTCTATCTAGGTTCTAAATATCAAAAATGCACAACGTTAATATTCAAGTTTTCACTTCTGCCGGCACTCCCGGAGTGCAACCCGTCGTTTTTTTTTATTGACTATAAGGGTTATTTACCAAAAATGTAGATGGAAATGGATAACGCTTCCTTGGACAGCGGTCCTCTTTTACCTATATAAAGCACTAGCATCCGTTCGCGATTTCGTCCGCGTTAATAGTAAGTTTTTGAGAATCCCTCAGGAACCTTATACTTATTCGAGATAAAGTCACTCATAAGTATAAATGTGTCTTAATGATGAATTATAATGCCGTATCTCATGCGAACCCGGTCAGCCGTTTTAGCCTGAAAGAATAATAAACTTCCGCATATTAGTAGACTGCTGTCCAATTTACAAATACGAAAAGCTGTATGAAGTACTTTCATTACACTATAATTTTATTCTATGGACCTACATTTCCTGAAAAAAAAAAATAAGAATTGTATATTGTAGACTCTCCGATATTTCCGCACTATTGCAAGCGCCATGATCACGGAGTAACTGAAACAATTTATATATTCTCGTTTAAAAACAATGTGTATATTTTATTTTTGGGTTTTAATGCTTAAGCATTTAAATGTTAGATGTTTAAATCAAAAGAAAATTTTACTAAAAAAAATGATCAACGCGGACCAGGAAGCAGACGGGACTCTAACCCTTCGCTATCCGGGCGAATGCACTGACCATTATGCTACGGCACTGACGGCCGTGTCGAATTTTCTTAAGCCTTAGGCTGCAAGGCAGCGCCATCTCTTCGCATTGTAGGTAACCCACAATGTCAAATGAATACCTTTACATGTATTAAACATTTGATAGAAGAAATAGCAATTGGAGTTATATTTTCGTTTTTTTTTAAGTATTTAACTGCTATAATCTAGATGTTTTAATCTAAAGAGAATTTTGTATGTTTCTCGTATCACAGTGATCTGGAACCCGTGGTCCGAATACGCGAAGGAGATCCCCGACTTCGGCGACGATGAGTTCCCGAACATGGTTTGTGTAGAGGCGGGCCGAGTGGCCGCGCCCATAGTGCTGCTGCCCGGCACCGCCTTCGAGGCCAGCCAGATCCTGCAGGTATACTACGATTCAAGATTATAAATAAAATAAATATTTTTCAACAATCACACCAATAGGGTATTTGACAATTTTTAGAAAACGATCTCATTTTATTTACTAATGTTTATGGAGTTCATAAAGAGTGGATATTTTTAATTATATTGCGTTATTCAGTAAAAAACAACTGAATTAAAAATTAAAATTTCAAGTTGCCGCGAAAACGTTTCTCTGGACATTATGGCTTCTCACTAGTATGTGACGTCACGAGACTGTCATTAAAACGTCAAACGACACTATGTAATGTCATTTGGGCCGGAAGTTTACTAGTGTCTGCTCATTTTAGTCTTGGCCAATCCCAGGCGTTTTCCACGGAGGAAAAACAAAGAGGAGGTGTGGTGATTAAATTTCCTCAAGAAACGACGCGTGAAATTTGCGGGATGCGGGGTGTTCAGCTCCGCCCACTTCTCAATATTTCATCTATCGGCTAATAGCAAAACTAGCTTAGGTTGATATTTATGTTACTACGTAGTAGTTCAGCTATCTAACACTAGATGTCAAAAGTTTTGTTATAATGGGACGTACTCAGAACTTGAAGCTTCAAAAAAATTAAATATGTAGGTAAATAAATAAAATAAACGTTACAAATTTGACCGATTTTAAAATTTTTAAGGTATAATTTTATTATTTTAAAACATGTAACTGCTTGATGAAAAAAAATCCAGGCAGACCAGGCAGCAGACGGGACTCGAACCCGCACCCGCTCCCGTCTGCTGCCTGGTCCGCGTGGATATTTTTCTAGTTATATTTTCTTTAGATTTAAATTTTAAGGTAGTTTAAAAATAATAGACAAAATGTTATTACAAACATAATTTTATTAAAAAACATCAATTACCTGTAAATAATAGTTTTGGTTAGTTGTTGTCGGTTGGTTGCCCTATCGTTTTGTATTGTGGCAAAATGCTTAAAACGAATATCAATATATTTTTCTGCAATCGATTTCATCAGAAATACAACATGATTAACTGTAGGTGATTGGTCAAACATATGGTTGGCCGATTTTTTGAAACAATCTTGTCCAATAAGTGATTTTAATGTATTCGATACAATTTTATGTTTACGAAAGTTAGGAGTATTCAAAGATTGCGATTTAACACAACGAATACTGCTTCGGTCCGTATACATATTTTTATGACATCTCTAGATGGGAAAGTAAGACCACCCTTATTTTTAGTTTTATCAAATCAAGGTCACTATCGTCGTAGTTATCAGCATATAATTCTTTGAGACAGCTCTCACATTTGATCTTGGAATGTAAATATTTGACCACATACCCAGAAATATATGCTACTATTTGACGGCGCAAATAGTCACCTATAGTTGTATTTAATTGTTCATCAAATTCCAATAACATATCGTCAGGCATAGGCTCGACATCCGTGCTATCCGAAGACTCGAAACTCATTTTATTTAAAATGCGATAACGTTCTGATGTAATATTAATTTTTTGCACAGAAGATTCATTTAAAATGGAAATATCTTCTTCTTCTATGGTGTCCAATCCGGTCTATTAAGTTTTGAAATCCATTGCTGTTTTAAATTATCGTTGGATGGAAATCTAAAACGAACATAAAAATAATTAAAATTTATTTACTTGGTAAAATAATTTAATACGTATTACGGCCCTGGATATTTGTAACGTTTAAAAAGTTATTCTATATGACGACAGATGGCGGCCAGTTAGTATATATTGATAAAATTACTGTTTTAGATACTAAAAGTTATTTAGAGATAACAGTTTTCAGTAGTATTACAATATACAATATGCAAAATTATACGTAAACTTGTGTATTTTCTTCCTAAAAGTGTCGCCATCTGGTGTCAAGTAGTAGAATTTTAACGCTGATAGCTGAGGCTGAGAATGTTCTAGAACTTATATATTTAATTACGTATAAAATTACTTACAAATGAAATGTGATGCCATCCATATTATCAGAACGTCTGTCTGAGTAACTTTGACATAGTAAAACACAAAACTTCATCCTTTTCTTGTTAAAAACGCAAAAAAACACTTATAATGCGAGTCTCGTTAAGTGTGCACCTGACGAACGCTGAAAGCATACTGACTTAGGCCCCGCCCACAATGATGACGTCAGGACCTAGTTGAAAATCACAGTGCACAGTTGCTTAGGCCAGCTCCTCTTTGTTTTTCCTCCGTGGCGTTTTCGGTCACGTGACCATGGAGCAAAAAAATCAATTCTATTAATGATTTTATAGAAAAGTTATTAAATATTTGTTCTTTCAGAATTGTAAAATCGCTGCTAATATTCATAAAAAATACAGATGCCAACAATTGGTACATTATTTATCATACTGTCAAATAGCCTATTAGCCTAGCTCCAAAGTAAGCACTGTAAGGCTTGGGATACTAGGGTAACGGATAGAATACATATATTAATATATTTATATAGAAATACATATCAAACATCCATGACTGGAGTACAAATGCTCGTGTTCATCACACAAACTTCTGCCCCCACCGGGATTTGAAACCGGGACCTCTCGAGTCGGCGACATCATGAAACTCGGCGTACAAACCACTCGGCCACGGAGGTCGTCAATTATAGGCGACGTAACACCACAGAACACTGAAAGAGGTTAGATCGGCTTTGTGGGCGGGGCAGACGCGCCGCAGTTATGTGTGAGCAAATGCTCATAACTTGACCAAAAACTTGGTTCTGATTGCATTGTTGCTCTCAGGTGTGAGCGATGGTAGGTTCGATTGTTTGGTTGGCTATTATCTATTAGGTGGAAGTGTAGTGGGGGCGAGCCGGCGACATCACGGTTCTCGTACAAACGGTCTCCGAAGGTAACACAGTATTACGTCGTTGCTCTTGTGTATGAGCGCTGATTAATTCGATTGTTTGATGACGCGTCGTTTGATTGGCTATATTATCTACTAGCGGCCGCCCGCGACTTCGTCCGCGTTAAGTTCTAGTTTTTTTTTAAAATAAAAGTAAGTCTTACTCCTTATTACATCAGCTACCTGCCAATAAAAGTCCCGTCAAAATCGGTCCAGCCATTTTAGAGATTAGCCGGAACAAATAGACACACAGACAGACAAAAATTGTAAAAAATGTTTTTTTGGTGTATGTACCGTACATATATTAATATGCATGTAGTAAAAAGCGGTTATTTCAATATAAGAAACAGACACTCCAATTATATTTTTATGTATAATATAATGCCGTTGGTCCCGGCTGCATCGGTAGTCGTTAGCACCCACCAATCCATACTGGTGCCCGCGTGGTGGGTATCTCGCTAGGCAGCTAGCTACACAGTTAGTTAGGCCGCTGGCGGGTAGCTAAATAGGCAGCGAGGTGAGCGTCCAATGATGGCGGTGATTGTGGATTTGGTTTAAAAGTTTGTTCGGTGAGTGATGGAAACGGAGTGGACCGGGAGTGTGCGTTGGACCAGGAGCGGTGGTGATGGACCGGGAGCTTTCCGCACGAGACCATTCCGTACAGGGTTGATTCCGCACTGGGCCCATTATGCACTGAGACCATTACTTACAGGGTTCATTCCACACTGGGCCTAGTCAATACTGGGTCCATTCCGCACTGGGCCCATCGTCACAGATTCGTTCATTCTGATCGTTTTCTGAAAATTGTCAAATACCCTATTGGAGAATTTCAACAACTCTCTATACTTGACTATTGTACGTAATATGAAGCAACAGTATGAAACGAATAATAATTAGTCCTACATATAGTTTCTTATGATTTCGCCAGGTAATGTAAAGAAGAGTGGTGGCATCGTCCACACGTAGCCGTCCAACGAGCGAGCTATTCGCGCTCGCAAAGACAACAAGACAATACTCCCAACACCACACTCCATACACAACATGCAACCCATATAAACTGCCGCACCGCCCGTGAGATAACACCCATTTAATACACGGAGTAATAGGGTATTTTTCAAATTTTTAAAAACTGCTTATATTTAAATATTGGGACAAACGAGTTAACACAAAAATAAATAAATTAATGTCTTTTTTTTCTCCATTAAACCACTCCGTAATCACAGATTATCCACAGACTACATAGGTGTTAAAATTCTTTACACAAAGTTGATGTCATGAACCCAGCGTTTTGGCGGTAAATTCAAAACCATTAAAAATAAATTCAACTTTTAATTGTATTTGTTTCTTAGGTTTTCACGCACATCACTTATTAAATAAAACTAGTTCCAACACAGAAATTCATTCTGACGATGCAGACCTGAAAAGGCTGCGAAACGTCAATAAATAAATAAAGTTTCGTGCATTAACCCGTTAATACTAGTTTTATTCAACTTTAATTGGTCTAATGGAGAAAAGAAGACATTAATAAATTTATTTTTATTTTTCTGTTAAATCGTTTGGCTCAATCTTTAAAGTAGTTTTCAAAAATTTGGAAAATACCCTATTTATGTTATGTACGCGACTGCTACCCTGTTTTTTGCGAGCACCCATATACGGTACCCCAAGCACAATTTTAGACAGATCAGTACTCTTAGCTCGAACCAATATAGAATTAGAATACTTTGCGAATGCACAATGTCATTGTCGAATTTTTTCGCCACAACGGACGTAACGAGAACTAAAAATCACACACGTACACGTTAGATGTATTAAATAGATCGAATTCAACTATTCGAATTCGATAATGGTTCATTCTACTACTACTGTATTCGTATCGCCGTGTCAAAGTTTCTATGGAAACTAAGCAGGGGCCCCCTACCGGACTTAAAAACAAACTAACTCCTTCCATAGATAATTCAACGATGGCGATACGTATATTTTCTCGCTAGTTGTGCATGCTTGTGGTTCGGCACCTATGCATTTACTCCGTGATCGCTTGCAACAGTGCCGAAATATCGGGGACATGCCAAAAACAGTATATAAATGGTAGCAAACCCGTAAATGACATAAATTTGTATAACCCATAATAAAATAAAATATGTATCCAAGCGCTTCACTGTGAAAGCATATGCAGGCTTTATTA